TAGCGGCCTCGCGGCGGCGCCAAGGAACATTTATGTAACCGTGGTCCTGGCGAGCCAAGTACCCCTGGCCAGTCTCACCTCCGGCTAAATCCCCAAGACACTGCACCCCCACACCCCTAGCTTTGTTCTGAAGCCCCCCCCCCATTAGGCTTAAGCCTCCGCACCCTCTATGCAGGATCCCTATTCCATAGCCCCCCCTCCTAGGACTTTCACTTGGCCTATAGCTTTTGGCTCCTGTGCCTTCCCAGGCACTTCCCCAACCCTGTGACACCAACACAGCCTAGCCCTGACCCAGTCCCCTTCAGTGGTTGGTCTTCTTAGACTTTTCTGTCCCTTACTTCCCTGACCACCCAGTCACAGTGCCTCAGATTCAGCAGCCAGCCCCCTTTCTCCCACCGGGTTTTCCTTCACAAAGCCTGATCCCCCATCTTGACCTGTGGCTCCAGTCACCTCCCCATGCACCTTTACTGATCATCCAACATCCTGTCCCCTGGTCCCTTTTAGCTTCTGAGAATGGGGTCCCTTTGAGGGCTTTGGGATTCCTCAAAAAGACTAGCTTTCTATAGGGACCAGCTTTCTCTATTCCCGCTACCTTCTTGAGAGGGCCGGTGCCTTTCAGAGTTAGACCACACCTTATCCTTGGGGGCTGGTTGTACACAGGAGGGCAGATGCAGGACAGTGGGGGTTGTTGGGGCTGTTGTTTAGCCCCTCCTACTCCCTTTGCTGCGATGGGAGGCGGGGTCACCAGCTGTGTGCTGGGATTGTCTGAATGGTGTGTCCTGTGATATTTTAGGCCAGCCACTCTACCCCAAGTACAGCGTCCAGAACAGCACTTTCAGAGCGATGCTGGAGGGTACCTGTAGGCACCCGAGACCCTCTCATGGCACCATGAGCTAAAACTGTTGGCTGCAGTGACATCACCCACCTTAGCTCTTCCTCGAATGCCATGGAAAATTCCAGAGGCTGTGTGATAATTGATGGCCTCCTCTGGGCGGCTGCTGGAACGTGTGCTTGGGTTTTGTTTGTGTTGTGTTTTTCCTCATGCAATGAGTATCAGGGACACACACACACACACACACGCACACACGCACGCAGAAGCTCTTCAGAGAGCTCACAGGGATAGTGCAAGGGATGTGTCCTGCAGTATGCAGTGTCATGTGACCCCCACCCCTATTCACTCATCCTCCATTATACATACTAGTACCTACATGTATCTTTGGCAACCTTGGACATCACCACTGGAGGTGGGCATGAAGCTTGAGCTTCTGCCCATAGACTTTTTTTTTTTTAATAGGCTGATAGAGGCATAGAGAGCAGGTGGGAGGCTGGCGTCTCTTGGGGTGAGGATTATGCCCTGAATTCAGGTCCTGCCTTGAGCATGTACCAGTGAAAGTGTGGGAACCCTTCCCACTTGCCTCCCCAGTGAGACACTCACTGCCCTTCTCTGCAGCCCTGCCATTACATTACCTGGCCCATCCGTAATTGTACCCATCTTGGATGCTTCCAGGAACACAAGCAGAAAGATCCTGAAAAAGACAAAGATCGGGGCCTCTTAGGAAACCAAGTGAAGCTGAGTTCAGTGGATTCTGTCTCCACCCTGACCCCAGCTTCCACCTCTGCTCCAGTCTAAGAAGACCCTGTGGGTGGGGACAAAACAGGCACTTTGGAACACGCCAGGCCTGGTACCAGCGCTGATGGTACATAGCCTATGGCATCACCACATGGGCCCGACTGTGAGAACAGGACAGCAAATTTGCTTCCTGTATCCATCGAGTGGATAGCTAAAAGCAGCTGAAATTTACTTCTCAATGTCTAAACCAGACATCCCAGAGCAAGATGCTGGCGGGTGGGTCTTCCTGGAGGCTCCAAGACAGCACCCACTTTCTTGCTTCTCTCCTCTCCCAGTGCTGGAGCTGGCAACTGGGAGCTTGTAGATGGATGATCCTGGTCCCTCAGCACCATTTCCCCTTTACTTCTCTCTTGAAACTTGTGGCTTCATCTCACGATTTTTGCCCTAATTATATCTACAAAGACCTTTTTCCCCTTCCAAATTAGGCTGCTCCACAGATTCTGGGGACTAGGGGTTGGCTGTATCTTTTCATTGCAAGCAGTTTGGAGCTTGTCTGGTGCCAGGGACTGGGTCTGAACTGGTACAGGTGACCCCAGACCTTCCCAAGGTGCTGCTGCTGAATAATAGGCCCTGTGAATAGCCAAGAATAGAGTTAGCATGTGACACACTTCTCACTTTTTTGTTGACAAGCCCCTCTTCCCAGAACCGGTTAGTATATTCAGCATTATCTTCTCTTTGACTATGGTTGGGTTAGATATTTTTAAAATTGTATTTAGACATTTTTTTTTAAATTTGGGGTGTCGTGTAGCACATGTGAATAGCATGGCGTGTGTAAAGATCAGAAGATAACTTTTGGGAACTGGTTCTCTCCCTCCAGTGTGTGGGTCCTGGGGATAGAACATAGGTCATTATGTTTGATCAAACACCTTCACCTTTAGAGTCATCTCTGGCAGTCTGCAACATGGAATTGAACTGCGTTCAATTCAGCACTGTTCCCTGATCTGATTTTAGTTGTCCTGATGGGTACTGTTAAAAAAAAAAAAAAAGAATATATATCCTGTATGTCTGTGTTATATAATGTATATATAATATATATTTCTTAATTTCTCAAATTAATCTGTTTTCATGCTATTTAAGAATTCACCTCACTCCTACCCTTACACCCACCTCCTCCTTAACTGATAAATAGATAATTTTAATTATTCCATTATTTAAATCCCACTGTGTATCTTTGTACCTTTCCTCGAAAGCCACGTTTTGTCTGTGGCACCTGTCTCTGCGCTGTGCTGAGGTCCAGCACTGGCTTCATGTGACTGGTACTGTTGGGCTGACCCACTGAGACCTGTGCTGGAGTTACATTTCCTTCTGCCTTCCCATGGGTCCTTGGGAAAGAGAAGTCATTTTGCATACGAAAAGCAGCTAGGGCCTTTGAGCTGTTCACCGGTTGCACAAGATCATCTGGCATTTTAGTGTGTTTTGAATTTGAACGTTGTTGTCTTGTGTCCAGATTGCTCCTATATTTCCTGGAGTTCATCATCATCATCCTAAAAAAAGAAAAGAAAGAAACGTGCCTTCTCTGTGTCCTTAGGTTTATCTAGTATCTTGGTCATGCTGTCTGCATAGAATTGCTTTCTTCCCAGTAGTATCCCCTGAAGGCCTTGGGGCTCTGCCTCCCCAAGCCTCCCCTTTGCCCTGGACCCCTGGTTTCTTGGTGCCCTCCCCCCCTTTGCTGGATGGAGTACGGGAGATGTAAACTCTCCATCCCCTGCCCTCCAGTGTGTCCAGCATGACCGACACATAGTGCCTTGTTCTGGCCTGAAGCCTGATGCCTGTTCCTCGCATCCACTTATTAAGTATTGAGATCTCACTTTTTCTACTCACTGTTGTAATTATGCAGAACTTCTCCTAGCACTTCCCTCACACCGCCTCCTGATCTTCCCAGCATGCTCTCCTGTTGTTCTTCCTGCCCCTACCCCTACCTCACACACTGGCCACAGTTTGTCCTTCTTTCCTCTCGTCTGTTCCTCTTTTTAGATAAAAGCCCCTGTACTGATGACTGGAGCTCTCAACTTTTTGTCCTCCACTGTCTGTCAGAAACAAAAATTCCATGCAAAGCTAGGGGTCTACTCACAGAACAGTCCTGGAAAACCGAACCAGAACGTAAGGGCAGCCATTGTGGCCATGCCCCAGGCTGCTTGGTTTTGAGTCGCCTCTCAGTGTCTTTCTCCACGCTGTGAAAATGGTTGAGGAAAGCCAGGCCTTGCCTCCATAGTGCTAGGGGAGGGAACATTGCTTCATTCACAGATTTTCTAGAATTGGGGTTTCTGTTTTGTTTTTTAGGCTAGTTCCTTGAGTATATTTCTAGCTTTTTGGAATAACTATTTAATCAAGAATATTTCTAATTTCTCAGTGCTTTTTTTGTTCTGTTTTCTGAACTTGCTTCCTATGATATTGTTGGCTCTGGGCATCCCGTCGTATCTCAAATTGTATTGACTGCTAATCAGAAATTTTAGGTTAATGTTCTTCCATTTCCTGTCTTCTCTCGTTTTCCTCTGGAGCTGGTAGCTTGGTTGCTGGCTCCCTTTCATGCTGGTGATTTTCATTGGCTGTCAGGTGGCTCCAAGTATCTGTTTGTATTTAAGGTGGATGGATGGGCCCTGTAGATTTCCTTTGTTAGACTTGGTGGGGGCAACTTCAAAGGCTGGAAATCTTCCTTAGAGGCTCTGTAGGACAAGGAAGCAGGAAAGGCAGCTGTATGGCTCCCCCAATATAGACAGGGTTCATCCTGGGGTGCCACCAAATGCTTCTCCCCAAGTAGCTGGTCCGTCACACCCCCCCCCCCCCCCCGTGTCCCCCCCCTCCGTCTCCCCTCTCCCCCATCTCTAGAGTTTGGGTAAATGCTAGTGTGTTCTTGATCTGAGCAAAAAGTAGATTGGAGTCCAAAGTGAGTAAATCCACACTACCTACCCCCTGAGTTGCACTGTGCTCTCTGCCTTCACACTTGCCTAGCTCCGCCCCCTCCCCCTTCTGAGCCATCACCTTTGTGTGTCATCCTGCCTGAGTCTGCAGGAGCCTTTTGAAGTCTGCTGCGTGCCAGGCCTGCATTAGGACCCCTGTCAGAGCAGGTACAGTGGGCTGGCAGATTCTGGGTAATGGTCTCTCCGACCCCCTCTTGCTAGACAAGATGCACCCCCTTCCTACTTCCTGCCTGGGAGTGTTGATGGAATGCTTCCCCTTGTCTGAGCTCCACTGCCAGAGTCGGCCATGTTGTGTTTCTTCCTCAGCCCTGTCGTCTGCTTGCATCTCAGGTGTGGGCTGAGAGCTTGTCCACAGGATGGGAAAATGGGCCTCGAGGGTGGTGAGAGGCAGTGGCTTGACTAGATGGTGGGGCGTGGCCAAGACTTAAAACCTCTGCCCCTGTCTCCCACAGGTGAGAGGCCCTTCGCCTGCAGCTGGCAGGAGTGTAACAAGAAGTTCGCACGCTCGGACGAGCTGGCGCGGCACTACCGCACGCACACGGGCGAGAAGAAGTTCAGCTGCCCCATCTGCGAGAAGCGCTTCATGCGGAGCGACCACCTGACGAAACACGCGCGTCGCCATGCCAACTTCCACCCGGGCATGCTGCAGCGGCGCGGTGGGGGCTCGCGGACGGGCTCGCTCAGCGACTACAGCCGCTCCGATGCCAGCAGCCCCACCATCAGCCCGGCCAGCTCGCCCTGAGCGCCCGTCGCGCCTGGACCGCGCCCCGCCCCCTTGATAATAGGAAAGCTGAGTGAACTTGAGAAGTCCACAGCAAAACACTTTTCTTCACCTCAGGTGTCAATTTTTAACAAAAAAAATCGTTTTTTCAAAAAAATATATACACGACCCACAAATTGCACAATAGAGCTATCCACGAAGTTGAGATTCAACGGTGTCGAAACCCCCCCTTTCTCAGGGATGGACGCGGTCCACGAGGTCAGTGAGGGCACGCCTTTCTGCCGCCTTACTCTGTACATAGATTTGCACTCTGGAGTTTTCTGTGAGGTTGGGAATCACACTGGGGCAGAACAGGCCAACTGGGAGCAGATGTGGCCACCGACATTGTGATTTTGCAGCAGACCCTGAAAGGCCTGTGCCCCCTTCCTGCTACCACTCAGTGGCACCTCTGCCCCTTGGCCTGGCTTCTGAGGGACTAGCCACCTCACAGGGATGCGGGAAGCCATGACAGACCGTGGGAGCAATTGCCTGTGGAACCGTGGAGAAGGACATCTGCCTTCTGAGGTAGTCCTGCCTGCCTACCTGCTTGGCTTTCTGCCTCCAGAAATCCTCAGAAAAATGGAGACCAGATGCAAACCCTGCCTGGATTGGCATCCTATTGCTGCCAATAGCCCAGGGAGGCGACCTGGGCCCTGCCTACCCTACAGAAGGCACCTGGGACCCTTCACCATCACACCATGTTCTCAGACTGGGAAATAGTGCCCTGGGCATGTTGTGCTGAAACTGCTTCCCCCCAAATTGGTGTTGTTTCATCCAGTTCCCCCAAGCTCTCATGCCCTGGGCCACTGTGGAGGCGCCTCTGTTTGAAGCAGGACCATCATGTGGCCTCTGCCTCTTCAGTCTGTGTGTGTGGCCTTGCCTGTGGCAGCACTCACACATCCCACAGAGACTGCTGGTGGAACTCGCAGATGCTGGAGAAACAAGGATTCTGCTTCTCTGGGGGGAGGACACCACATGACAGTTGTGGGAATCACCTTCTCAGAACCTTGAGTGCAGACTTAGCAAACACCCAGTTCCACCCTTGTTGCACTTCCCGCTTTCCCTCCAGTTTCTGCCTGCCCTGCCTGGGAGGACCCAAGCCACACCCATCTGCACGGCAGGAATGGGGAGGGGACGGCTGGGAAAACAGCTGAAGTAGAAGCCAGGCCTGACCTGTTTCTTCTGGAGCCCAGACCTGGGCTGCTGTGTTGGATTCAGGTGCTCGGCCTGGTTGGCAAGACCGTGTTCTGGTTGCTCCTCTGCAGATCCATGGAGGGTCCATCTGCTCCCACCCTGCAGAGGCCCAGGCATTTCCTCCCCTTCACCCAAGAACTGGGGCCTAAGAACATAAGGTCCCAGGTCTGATCAGATATATATGTGTATGTGTGTATGTGTGTGTGTGCGTGTGCGCGCGTATGTTTCGGTTGGGTGGGTTTGGGATGGATTTGGGGTGTCTTACAGAGACCTCTCTTCATTTTGATATGGAGGATCAGCCCCTGTGACTCAGAGGGCCGTAGATGGGCTTCCTGGGCCCAGAGTGCCTTGGTTGTGGTCATTCTGCCTCCACCCCAGCCCTTACACAGTGTCGGGGGCAGCACAGGAAAAACCCAGAGACCATGCCCAGCCAGGTCTGCAGTTTCTGACTGTTGTCATGTGGCTACCATGTAGACCTGGGGCACCGCTTTCTGACTACCTGTGTCAGCTTTGAGAGGCTAATGGCATATGGTGGCTTTTGGTGGCACAGTGGGTGCTGAGTTGGGCTGTGGCGTTTTTGCTGCCCAAAGCAGGCGTCGTGGTTGGGGGGATGGTCCCTGTCCTGGTCCAGTGCAAAGCTAAAGCTAGCGACAGCTCTGCTTGCATTTCATCTGGGGAGGAGAACGGAATATGTGTGGCTGGGACCTTGACTAAAGGGAACCCTGGGTGCTTGGGGTGTGGCGATCTTCGTGCTGAGTTCCAAAGTGTAGTCCCCTCCCAAAGTCATTTGTGTGAGGCAGAGGAAGCCACACTCTGAACACATTTCATGTCTCAGGAATTCACATTCCAGATTCAGGAATTTTATTCCAAAGTCCTTTGGTGCACCTACATCTATGGTTCTGAAGACAGAGCGATGCAGCAGTGTGCCCCAAAGGCCAGCCAAGGCCTCTCCTTGGGAAGAGCCAGCTGCCTCCTTGTGATATACCTGCAGAGTCACACAGAAGGCGGCTTTCCAACTCAGCCACTGTCTGCACTTAGGAAGGGTAAAAAAGGACTCTAAGCCCCATCATCTTGGAATAAAAGAAAGAGCTGGTTTGTTGTAGAGTGGGTTGGGGGGTGGGGGAGGGAAAGCGGGCGTAGGCTGTTTCCAAAGAGCACTTAATTTAATTTTTTCCTCTGAATGACCCAGGGCTGTTCCATCTGATGGATGGAAGGGTAACGTTGCCTTAAAACAGAAATATGCAGGCGTTGGCTATTTTTGGCAAATGAACGTGTCTTCATTCCCAAAGTGGTTCTCCTTTAATGGCAGGGTGTGGTCCTTCAGCATGGGGCTAAGGCAACCCTCATGGAACCCCCTATATCATCTGGGGCTTCAGTTCATCTCATCAGCGGGTGGGATGAGGGGAGGAACATGATTAGACTCATTTCCAGTGGGTTATCATTAGGTTCCCATCTTGTCATAAACAAGGGATTCCTTCTAAGGTACAGCAGAGTCTTCCCAGCCTGGGTCTGGTGCGGGGGCTTTGAGTTTTTTGCGGTTACGGCCATACTCTCTGGTTTCAGTTTGACTGAGAAACCTATAGGGTGCCCAGAAATAATACTGAAAAGTCCAATCCTTTTTTTAGGGGCAGGAGGCAGAGATCCCACAGTGAAAGTGCCTGAGTGAAGAACGGGAGAGTTCCCTGTAGCAGTGTCTAAAAGGAAGTCTGGACTTCAGCCATCAGGGGGCTGGAGTTTAGCTCCTGTCCCAAATGAAAACGTCCCTCTTTGCATCAGCCATATTAGGGGGTCACTGTCTGTTCCCCAAATGCCTACTGAATCCTACAGCCATACAGAAAACAGCCCTTTTCCAAAGAGGGCCCTAGGTTCTCTCTTGATGGGTGCTATGTAGGGATGGACAATGATGCCCTCGATGGGAGTGTGGCCCTACTTGTATCCTGCCATGTCCCCTACCCACAGGACCTGAGGTGCAAAGTCCCCACTTCCAGCCCATCCCATCTCAACTTCGTTCCGAGGCCAACCCTGGGACAGGCACAGGATTCACCAGCGTGCAACCTCCCCGGGTGCAAAAACCCTGGTGAAGGGTGTTTCCATGTGGGAAAGAGGGAAGATGACATTCTGTGGCTCCAAGAGAAATGTGGCAGGACAGAGGGGTTACCTTTCAAGACTTCCTGTCCAGGAGGCTGGCCCTTTTCTAGCCAGAAGCAGGTGCTATGACATGCACAAGGTCACAGCATTTCCTAGAGGCTTCATCTGGGGTCTCCACCAAACAGGGGCACCTTCCATGTAAGACACATCTGAGCAATAGCTTGGCCTCGTTTTCTCACTCCTGGTTGTGGCTTTGTTTACAAGGCTATCTAGTTTGACTTCTGACAGGTGTTACTGATTGCTGCCCCTCTCCCCAACACACACACACACACACACACACACACACACACACACACACACACACACAAAAGGCCATTCTGCCAGAGACAGTGCTGGAAGGTTTATGTATAGCCATGTTGCAATCAGTAAGAAATGCTTTATAGGTCGCCCACATTTTTTTTTTTATTTTTTATTTTTTGCTGTCCAAAGTTTCCTATGTGAGTCCTGGTGGCCGTGTCTCTCAGAGCTAAAACCCAGATGTGGACTCAACTGTTTTGAAATCAGGATGGCACTAGGAAGAGCCAGGTCCTCTGACTAATTTTCCTGATTCAGAGTCTTTGAAGGTTTGTCCTGGACACATTCCAGAGAATTTTGTACCCAAACATGGATGCTCAATCGAGCTAACTACTGATACAGGCCCGAGCACTGCTGAGGGAGAGGCCCTTCCTCTTGCTGACCAACTGACCTCCAGCGAAAGGAGCAGAACTGGCCTGGAGGCCCCCGTCCGCCAGGGAAAGGAGGCTTGCTTGGTTTCTGTTGACACCCCTCCCCCCCTAACAGGGTTAGTGGACTTGTCTTGGAACTCTCTAGCCCAGCCCAGCTTCCCTACCCCCATCCCCCAATCTCACACAGCTTTAAAACTTCACTACTTTGTTTAGAAACAAACAGGATGGCAAAGAAGACACCTCCCCCACATCCCTGGGACTGGGCAGGAAACGTAGGTCAGGCGTGGGGGCGGGGTTTCTCCCTGCTGTTTCCCTAGAGCTCCTGCGGGGCTGCCCGTTCGCATTAACAAGGTCAGCTTGTGAGCTGGTCACCTGTGGGCCAGGCTGCCCTAGTCAGAACTGAGAGCCTAGATTTCAGAGTGTCCCTTGCCCTGGAGCAGTTGGGGCCACTTCTCAGACGCAGCCTGATATCTCTTCAGTGTCAGACCTGAATTAGGAGGACTACCCTGGTGTGTGAGCGGAAGGACCTCTCTGTTCTCCCTTGCATACTGGAGAGGCCCCGGGGTGCCTGGTGCATTGTGACGTCAGAGCTCCTATCCTTGGTGACTGGAAATCTCTGTTGTGGTTTTGTTGGCTAGACCCAGGTGACTGCTTTTCATACAAAGCCATCGGTGGAACTTCTGTGGGATCCTTTGCCAAACCCCAAGGCAAAATCCAAGAGTCCAAGGCCATTTCCATCAAGTTCCAGATTTTCTTTTCTATAGGAACTTCTTTTTTTTTTTTTTTTTTTAAAAGACTACCCTAGCTCCCAACATGCTTCCAAAGGCCATGTTCCGTCTTTTCCTGGATCACTACAGTGAAGTATTACAGTTGTATAGTTCCCAATCTGGCCTTGGCTTGCTCGGATAAAACTTTGTTATGTATTTTGTAAGGCATAGATTCTATATTGTAATGTCCTATGCAAAAGAAAAAAAATTAATGAAATTGTAAATTTTATTGTTTTAACATGTATGCATGTTTAGTGACGTTTACATTTTGAAATAAAATTTATGATTCATTATTTTATTTGCCTAGGTGACACACTTGAGGGGTGTGGTCCACAGAGACTCTGGGTGAGCTACAGAAGTTAAAATCGAGAGAAAGTCCAGCCCCTGAGTTGAGGGACAGAACCTTAGCTGGGGCTTTGCACAAGATCTCTGGGGACAGAAGGGTCTCTTCTGGGTGTGGGAGACGTTTGAGTTCACTAGCATTACCTCCTTTTCCTCACTGTGGACACAGGAGGATGTGACGCCCATGTCCCCAGAGGGTTCCATGCTTTCTGCGGCATCCTTTTTGTTGTCACTTTGTCACTGAAGCAAATAGGCTAATCAAGCCCAAGAAGAAGGGAGTCTTTTGGCTCATGGTTTCACGGGCTCTACCTTAGCCATCTGGCTCCTTAGCTGTAAGCCTGTGGCAAGGCAGTGTATCAAAGAAAGAGGGACGAGTGGTGAAACAGAGCCATTCACCTCTCCATGAGGTGGAAGAGGAGAGGGAGCCTGCTTCCTGATGGGCACATCATCATGATCTGAAGACTTAGGTTCTACCATCTACCAACATTACCACAGGTTCTACCATCTACCAATATTACCACCCTGGGGAGCAACTCTTCACATAGACAACGGAGGATGCTTCCAACTCAAACTATATAATTCTCCCATAAGCATGCATACTTTCCCTGGTTGCAGCCACCCTTTGTCTAAGATTCTAGAAAATGTCTGTTTCTAGCCACAAAAGTTACGTGGTTGGTCACAAGCCAAAGTTCACTGTCCGGGGAAGAGAACAAAGATTTGCTGGGACACCAGAGGCCAAGTGCCCTGTGATCTTTAACTGTCCATGTTGACTCCTGGATGCCAGCAATGGAAAGGAGCAGTTAGCAGGGTCAGACCAGTGACTGGGTCTGCCCCCTGCTCTCTAACAACAGTAGCGTGTGGGTTGAGGGGATATAGTTGAGGCTCACATCCTCAACCCTCATCCAGAGTGAACATCCATGCTGTATGCCATTTCAATCTGCATTTGTCAGTGAAACCCACTAAGAAATCTTAACTATTAACCGAAGAAGGCATTTCAGTTGAAGATGGTTTTCTTGGAGCTACACTGACTCTGTAGTCACTTCCTGGTAGGCACTGGTTTCTGAGATCAGATCAGGTGTGCTGAAAGCACCTCAAACACATTATCAGCCAAATACAAACACCCTGTTAGGTTTTTCGAGACAGGGTTTCTCTGTAGCTTTGGAGCCTGTCCTGCAATTTGCTCTGTAGACCAGGCTGGCCTCGAACTCACAGAGATCCGTTTGCCTCTGCCTCCCAAGTGCTGGGATTAAAGGCCTACACCCAGCAAGCACTCCTCTTGAAGCCTGTGTTGGCACAGGATACTTTGCAGCCGATTCTCGGACGTGGTTCCTCTCTTCTGCAATGTTCCCTTATTGTGTAGAAACTTCCTCAGATAGCAGTAACTACAGGGTAGGTCTGCTTCCATAAACAGTGGTGTGGGGAAAGGGTCCTGGATGCTTTAAAAATACCGACAGGAAAAAGAAATGCCCGTCAGCTATGATGTCATTGCTGAGATCTCTTTCCAAGGGGGAAGCAGCGTTGACAACCCACCTCAGGAACTAGAGATCTCCTGAGACCTTGAGGAGCCCCCAATAGTAGAAGGGAAACAAAACACATCCTCTAAGAAGCGTTGGTTTTATATGTGAAAAGTAGAATTCATTAGTACATGTGACATCCTCTCTGTCACCTTGGGACAAAGAAAGGCCCCTCTGCAGTTTCTGACAGTTTGGTGGCGTACCATATCTGCCTGTGTCCAGGTCAGGGGAGGGGTGTGTCTGATTAGGGATGTGGCAGGCTACCATCATCCCAGGGAGCAGATTTGGCCTCTTTTTTTTTTTTCCTTCTTTTTATTCTTTGTATCTTTTACATCACACATCTCCATCCCATACATTTTCCTCTATCCCTTTGTATCTGCCCTCTGCCCTTCCATCCCCACCCCTGTTAAAATAAATTTAAGAGAAAAAAAGAAAAGAAAAAAGGAAAAGTCTTATCATGAAAGCTGTAGTGTGACATAGTGGGTCACACATATACCCCTGTGTCCAGATAGCTTTACTTGCAAGTGTTCATTGCAGAGTCATTGGTATGTTTTGGGGACTCGGGTCCTGCCACACCATCGATGCTGGGCCCTCACTGGGACTCTTATTAGCTATCCTGCTGTTGCCCTGTGTCATGGAGGTCCTGTGGCTTTGGGTCTGCAGACCAGCCCCTTCATGTGCTCCTGCAGGTCATAGGGTGGATATTGGGGTAATGCCAACTCATAACCCTGGGTTTGGGCCTGGGTGGTTGAAGGGTTGGTCAGCCCACCAGCTCTCCCCTGTTGAGCTCTTCTGCATTTCCCTGACTGGATCACCCCTTGCAGCAGTGAGCAAGGGGCAAGGCTAGTTCTCCTGCTTTCATGCCCTCAGGATTGGCTCTCATACACTTGGACCATCCGGGCCGGCTCTACTGTGTTCCCAGGTGAGGTAGAGGGGGTCACTGTCCTGAGTGCTATAACTGGAGGGTCAAGGCCAGCCCTCCCACCTCTCAAAGGCACAGGTGGCAAGGGGTGATGAAGGTGCATTTCTTCCCCACCTACGCCACCATATGGCTGGACCATTCACCCGTACCCCTGACAATAGGGTCAAGTCTAGATGGATTTTTCTTTGGGCCTCCAGCTCACAGAAAAATGACACGGAGACTTCTTATTTACGAAAGCTCAGCTTTTAGCTTGGGCTTGCCCCGCTAGCTCGTATAATTTTAAATTAACCCATTTCTGTTTATCTGTGTGTTGCCGCGTGACTCGTAATTTTTTTTTTTTTTTTTGCCTCTCTCTGTGTCCAGCTAGCGAGGCACGTTTCTTCTTCCCAGAGCGCTCTCTGTCCAGAAGTCCCACCTGTACTTCCAGTCAGCGCTGCTGTGCTGCCTAGGCGAGGTGCAGGGTCCCCTTTCCTGAGTGCTGCCTCCGGTAAGGGGGATGGACAGTTTGCTGGCCAAGCACAGGTGACAGGGGCAAGGTGGGGAGGGCATCTTTCCCTGGCCCTCACCACCGCATGACAGATGAGGGCAGTGTGTCCAGATGTCCCATTCTCATCCCCAGGGCCAGCTCAGTTGTGCCTCTGCCAACAGGGACAGTTCTACTGCACAGCTCTCCCTTTCTTGACGGTTGCAGCTGGTAAGGGGGGGTCACAGGTGGTAAGGGTTGAGGGGTAAGGGAGACTTCTTTCCCAACCACACTGCCGCATCACAGCTGAGTAGTGTGGATTGCTCTCCCATGCTCACAACTTTGGGCCTGGCTCAGCCACACCTCTGCCAACAGGGTTGGCTCTACCCTGCTGCCCAGGTGAGGTGCAGAGTCTGCTCTCCCTAGAGGGTTGCAGATGGTGGGGCGCAGAGCAGCTCTCCACCTGCCTCAAGGATAGAGAGGTGGGGGTGGGGCGGAGAGCATCCCTTCCCCACCCATATGACAGATGAGGGGTGGGTCCAGATCTCTTATGCCCAGATAAGGTGCAGGGCTTGATTTCCTGAGTGTTGCAGCTCATAATGGGGAAGGTCAGTTCCCTCAACATCTGGAGGCAGTAGGAGCAAGGGAGGAAGGCATCTTTCCCTCGCCACCACATCACAAACAGAGGGAGAGAGTGGCAGCTATACCCCTCTCACGCCCTCAGGGCAGGCTCACTGGGGCCCCTATCTGCAGGGTCAACTCTGCCCCGGTGAGGTGCGGGACTCGTTCTCCCAAGTGCTGCAGCTGGCGAGGGGTTGAAAGTCGGCCTCTTTAAGGATGGACTGACCATGTGTGCTAGTCTGTCTGTCCTCTGCTGTGCGGAATGTGTCCTGGTAAGTGTTAGCTACAAAGGAGAGGTTTGTTTCAGCTCAGTCCTTCCTGCAGACACAAGGGCTACTGCCCACATCTGATTGCATTCACTCCTCCTGGCACATACCTAGAGGTACGTATGTGCATATATACCTTGGGATTCTCTTTTTTATGTATCAACCATAGGAGGGTGTAGGTGGAGGCTGCTTGTTCAATTTTTGGCAGCCCATTCCAGAAATAATCACACAGAAACTATATTAATTACAATGCTGTTTGTACAATAACTTAAGTGTATTCTTAGCTAGCTCTTACATCTTAACCAATTTTTGTTATTTTGTGTATTACCACGAGGCTTGTAGTTTATTGGCAATGTTTGGGGCGTCTGTCTCCTTTGGCTGCTACATGGCATCTCCCTGACTCCACCTTCTTTTCTCCTCTCTTGCTCTACTTGGAATTCCCGCCTTGCTCTATTCTGCATTGCCATAGGCCCAAAGCAGATTCTTTATTAACAAATGGTAATAGAACATATTCACAGCATACAGAGAAATACCCCACATCAGGAGGGGCTTCACCCCAATGACTTGCTCCTAACCACCTCCCAAGCACCTCTAGACATCACAGTTGGGTTTAGTTTCCACCCTTTTACCCCTCACCATGGTTAAACTTCAGCATGACCTTCTGTTGGGAACGAGCCATATCCAAACCACAGCAGTGCCCTTGGTACCAGTTCCACAGACAGTGACGCATCCCATTGCTCAAGGCATTCAAGCAGATGGTAAGACCCTGCTTGGCAGGAACACCGCGGAGAAAGCTGCGTTCTAGAAGAGTAGCTGATCACGTGTGAGATGGGTCGCTCTGCTTTTAGGGTTTCCCAGGGCACGATCATGCGGACCCTTGGAAACACTCCGTTCGCTTGCCGAGGACCTTAAATCACAGGTTATGCACGTGATTTGTTCTGAGGATACGGAGGACTCCACCCCTCCAGTCAGGTCTCGCATACACCCATTGATAGAACACTGACTGCGAGCAACACTCCGGAGGTCTGCTGCATGCAAAGCGGTGTGATTGGGTAAAGACCCAACTTCTGACAGCCGCATCATGTTTGACTGTCCTGCGCCAAGGGTGAAGGACTTTGACTCCACACCAGTGGTATAAAGCCTAGGCAGGTTTTGACAGGTGGCGGTACTGAAGGGCTCATCCTAGACTTGTTCCTAATACTGCTTTAACAAGCTTCCCCAGACAGCGACTTAAGGCAACACACTTTTTTTTTTCTTACAAAGCCTTTGAAGGTCAAAGTCCAAACTGAGTTGTAGTCAAGTCATCATGACTAGCTCCTTCTGGAGGCTTTTAGGGTGCACTCCATCCCTTGACTTGTGACCGCATTGTCTCTTCCAAGCCATCAGACAGCAGGGGAGCGCCTTCTCTCCTCTGGCATTGCCTGTCTCTGTGACTGCAACAGACCTACCAAGTAATCCAGGCCCATCTCCCCACCTATCTCAGCCTGCATGCCCTTCGTGCACCCCTCTGAGTCTGCAGCAGGGCAGTAGCCAGGCTACACTTGAGGCACAGAAGGGGTGGGAAGGCCCCAGTTCCCACATGGCCCCTAGAACTGAATATTTCTTTAGCCTGTGTGGCCCTTCGTGGTTTTCCTTTACCTTTGATTCCAGTTTGCTCCTGGAATCAAAAGTAAAGGAAATGGGTACTACTCTTCCCTCCTTCCCTGCAAGTATGCCCAGCTTTCCTCACAGCAGTGACCGTGCAGCCCTGGACGGTGCTGATACCAGGCTGGGCTTCCCATCTTGAACACACTGACTATGATGTGCGCAGCCAGCCAGTCACGTTCTGGGTTTTGTTCCCTCCTGGGAAGCAGCTCTGGACTGTTGTCTGTAGAGGGTGAAGTTCACAGTGAGGCAGCAGAGGCCAGAAGCCAAAGCAGCAGAGCAGGGCATGTGCCAAGCCTTCAGGCCCCTCAGGGTCTGGCTTGTATCCCCAGACACTTCTGAGAAACAGTTTACAGTCTTGCACGGTTGTCTCAGTGTGGATGAAGACCAAGACTAACCTAGGGTGAGGGGTTGTCTGGCTCACACCTACCTAGATGCCTGGGGCAGCAACCAGCTCAGCTTCTACACTTCCACTTCTGTCTGATACATCTGCACACGTGGGCTGGGTGCTGTCCTGTGAGCACCCCCAGCAGGAAGCGTGAAGTGTGAGTAGTTCTGATTCATATCGCAGAAAAGATAAGTCCAGAGAGGTAAAGTGACCTTCCCAAGGTTACCCCGCTGACAGGCCAGAGATTTGTTACTTTGAGCTTTGGGTTAAGTAAAGAGTTATTATAACCTATGTGGGGTTGCTCCTGCCCCGTTGTTGATAACATAAGGAAGTCCCCCCACCCCATGACACAGAGTTCAATACTTACCTCTTTTCTGGCTACTTTTCTCCAGGGTCTAAGCCCCAGTCAATAGTGGGCCTTCAACCAATACCTGTCATGTCCTCCAAGATGAAGTACTACTGTCTCTGGGGTCCTAGGCCTAGACACAGTGGGGTTCAGGCTCTCCTTTTAGGACCCTTCATGACGTCAAGCAACAATGACTTCCTCACTCAGGAGTCTGTATTCATCCACTCGGACCTCCTGTAATCAGGATGCAGAGGATGCAGAATACTGATATTGGCAAACTTGTCCCCATTGGCAAGCTTCAGGTCCTCATTTTTAAGGAAGCTGTTTAATAATTGGTCGCTATACGTAGTGTGCCGTGGTCCTGCATCATGTTGCATGATGGTCAGATCAGGATGACGAGAACATTCAAAGCCCTTTCTTCTGGCCTACATTATTGTTGAACTTAGACACCCTACCATGCAACTGAACGCTTGACCTGGCCTCTGATGACCACTGTCTGCTCCCAGTTTCTGCATCAGAACCCCCCATGTGAGTGAGGCCATGTGACACTTGTCTTCCTATGTCTGACTTACTCCACTGAATACACTGTCGTCTCTGTTCATGGTGTTGCTATCAGCAGGATTAAGCTGTTGATGCTTAGGTAACAGGTCAATACATGATGGCTCTAGTAAACAGAGCTGCCTCTGCCTTTTGTCTGTGTCCTGCTCCTTTCTCTTAACCACACATATCTCTGAGGGTTCTCCAAGATCAGTTTCCGGACTGTAGCACTGTCTTAATGGGAAAAATGGCTTTGTTCCCTAGCTCAACAGCATCTTCCCCATCCTGGGCCAGTAAGCTTCCTACCCGATGAGCTCCACCATGGCAGGAGCAGGTGGCAGTTCATGGAGTCATAAACATCAGATCCAGGCAAGTAATACCTCTGCAGTGGGGATGAAGGACCGGGAGAGGCACACACAGCCACCACCAGCAGTTTGGTCCTAGTGGGAGGAGTCAGTCTGAACTCATCCTCATCTTTCCCTTACACACGTCTGTCAACGTAGCAGATACTAAATTATGAAATACTTAAAAAAAAAAAGAAAGAAAGAAATGAAACATTTAAAACCTAAATGTCCAGGATGAGTAGTTACTCAGCACATCACACGGTATCCAGCTTATTTCTAAGGGGACCACATCCTCCTGTGAGAAACATTCTTGGGACTGCGGAAATGGCCCCACGGGTAGAGGGCTGGCTGTGTGACCCAGCAGCTCTGTAAAAGGGGGGCAGTGCCCAGTCAGATTGGCCAAATCTGTGAGTGCTGGGTTCATTGAGAGACCCTGCCTCCAGTCATAAAATGGAGAGTAAAGCAGGTATCCAGCTTACTGGCTTACACACACACACACACACACACACACACACACACACACACACACACACGTTTGTTTGTTTTCCAAGACAATCTTTCTGTGTAGCCTTGACTATCCTGGACTATGCTCTGTAGATCAGGTTGGCCTTGAACAAACACACCTCTTTGTTTGTTTTTGTTTTTTGAGGTGTGGGGGGGATTCTTTGTAGCCTTGGAGCCTGTCCTGGAACTCGCCCTGTAGACCAGGCTTGAATTTACAGAGATTTACCTGTCTCTGCCTCCTGAGTGCTGAGTGCTGGGATTAAAGGTGTGTGCCACCAGCTCTACGCAAATACACTTTTTATCTACAGGTATTCGATGTTTGTATTACACATTTCATAGAAGAAAGATGCATGGGTCACAAACTCCAGGGCTTGTAATTGTTAGGCACCCAAAGACACATTACCTACTTGCTTTCATTCTCTAAAGCTTCAAAACTGTTCAGGTAGAGTTCACGTCAGGAAAAAACAACAATACTCTTTTGTCTGAGGCAAAAGCTCGTCCAAGGCCAGCTGGCGACATGTGCCCCACCCCACCACCCACGACCATCGACCAGCTGCCATGGCCTGCCCTTAGGGAGAAGGATGGGACTCACCCTAGATGCCCCCAACGGAAGTCCACAGGAGGACAGATGTGCTTCAGGCCCCATCTCCCTGTCCTCCAGCACAGCAGCCTGAGAGAGGGACAAGGAACTGAACACCCCATCCTCCGAGTCAATTCTCAAGCCAGAACAGTGGGAGCCACCCAGCCTTGTCAGCCTCCCCAACAGCTCTGCCCACTGTGGGCTGAATGTCACCCGCCCTTCTCAGTCCCTAGAGAACGAATTAAAGTCACCAGGAAGCACTCGTGATTATACAATGCTCACGATGAGATTGGTACATTCTTATGAGACGATGTCTCCTGGCCCTTTGAGGGCACAGAGAGGAAGTTGGCACTCTGTAAGTCTGGAGATCCCCCTCTCTAGACACTAGGTCTGAGCCGCCTTTATCTTGATCTTCTGGGCCACCAGGTTTGTAAGCAATCAATGTTCAGTTACTGGCAAATGATGGTTTGTTTTAGTAGCCCAAACTGAGTCTAAACCATGAATATGAAACCACATGGTGAAGATTTAACTATGAAGTCAGGTGGCTCCAAAGGCCCAGGGATTCATCATTGCCACATACTACATTTCAGGGTTATTAGGAAGAGCCGTGTTCTCCCTCTGCTTGTGCTCCATATGTTGGAGTTTTACACACAGGGTACACACAGGTTCTTACGTGCATTCTGGGCATGCCCAAGATGGTTGGAAGGCTATCCCTGCCATCGATGTGAGGACCACGGGTATGCAGATGGCAGTGACCATGCTGTTCCCTGCACAGAGCAGAGTGGTGCTCCAAAGGAGGGTTGTTGCCAAGGAGTCTGGCACCCAGATCACTGCCGAGCTTGGAACTGAGCCATTCAGAGACATAGAGTAAAAATAGAATGATCTGGCTTCAGCAGGGAGAAGGGGCCTGCTGCTTGCTGGGAAACTTCTTAAATAGGAGCAGTTCCATTGAGCTGAGCCTAGAAGAAGGATACACGCGCCCTCTCTCTCTCTCTCTCTCTCTCTCTCTCTCTCTCTCTCTCTCTCTCTGTGTGTGTGTGTGTGTGTGTGTGTGTGTGTGTGTGTGTGTGTGTACAGTCACAGGTACCTGAAGGAGGGTGCTAGGTACTCACTGCTCTTCCCTGCTGGCATCCTGCCCTTGGGTACCCATCGGAGATGCTTTGTTTTCCTCTATGTATGTCCTCAGGAAGAAAGAAATGCGCTGGCTACATCGTGATGGTTGCAGAACTGATTGAGAAAATTCTGGTGGAAGTGCTTTAAACTGCCCAACAGCAGACGTTTCTTTTAGAGTGCTAAGTCAAGGCGTTCAGAGACTTTGAAGTAATTTGATTATGCCCTCCAGTTTTTAGAGTTAGTGAAAGTAACACATCGGAACAAAACCTTCAAAAGTAAGAGCCCTTCCCAAACCCCTATGGTGAAAGATCTCTCCTTGCCCCACACCACCCCTCCGCACACACTAGTAAGATAAGTCTCTTACAACACCCAAGTGTCTCGTTTGTCATTCTCCTTTTTATAAAGGCTTGTTTTTATTATTTTTAATTATGCATGTGTACATGTGAGTGCGCGTGCCCTCAGAGACCAGAGGGGCTGGATCCCCCTGCAGTTGGAGGTACAGTGAGCTGCTACGTGGGAGCCGACACTGGGTCTTCACTAAAATAAGAACTCTGAATTGCTGAACCATCTTTCCAGTCCCATTGTCCTTTCTGATTCGAAATAGGAATGTGGTAATTTACTCCCCTTACCCAGCTTCCCAGTCCTGCCCCTGGGATTCACTGGGTTATCTCTGACCTCTGACATTCTGAAGTTCCAGCTCTTCTTCCTCTTTTCACTCCACGGCTGCTGATGGTCCTTCCTACCTTTCTTCCAAGCCCTACTCAGCCATTTGCTTTGGTAAACTTGTCTATACTAAAGGCAGATTTGTGGGCATGCCTCAGTTTGTGTGTAGACAGGAGGTTGAACTTCAGTGTCCTTCTTTGGAAGCTGTACACCTTGTTTTTTAAGACAGGATCTTTCACTGGTCTCTGGGTCTGGCCGCAGATCCCCAGGGATCTATCTGCCTGTCTCTACCACCCCACATCCCCAGCCCTACCATTACAAGCAAGCCACCATACCACTATGTCCACCCCTCACCCCTCTCCAGCTCCCATAAAGGTTGATTTGTTTTTCAAGACAGGGTTTCTCTGTAGCTTTGGTGCCTGTCCTGGAACTAGCTCTAGTAGACCAGGGATCTCAAACTCACAGAGATCCTCTTGCCTCTGCTTCCTGAGTGCTGGGATTAAAGGCGCATGCCACCACTTCCAGGCATAAAGGTGGATTTCAGTGGTTCAGAAGGGACTCAGCCCAACCATGTTACACATTACCGACAGGCTGGAGCAGCTAAAGGTCCCCGGGACATTACCTTCTTTGTGAGCTTAATGTGGTCACCACCTCCTAGCATGTAAGGAAGATATTCCTAACACGAAGAGCAAATTAGAAGCCAAGTGTGGTAGCTTCTACCTCTAGTTCAAGCTCCTCGGGAGTTCTCTGCCGACCTTGGCAATGTAGGGAGACCTGTCTCTAAAGAATAAATGGACAAAACAGTTACATCGATGACTCATCTATTAAGAGCACTCACTGTTCTTCCAGAGGACCAGAGTTCGGTTCTCAGCACCCATTTTGAGCAGCTCATGACCTCCTGCACATACACAAATATATATGTGTGTGCATGTGTATGTATGTATACACACGTGTGTATGTATGTGTATATATATGTGTGTATATATATATATATATTTGTATATGTATATCTTTAAGTTTTAAAAATGAGATTAGATGATTCCCTTTCCACCGAGGAGCCGAAAGCTGTGACATTTTGCCTACTTTGAGCTGAAGCATGGTTTTGTTACACACATTTTTGTCTCTCTAGCTCTGAATTGTCCCTTTCTTGTTAGTATAGCAGCGTATCCCACCACAACTTTTCTGTGCTACCTCCCCTTCCCCTGCCTTCCGCCCTCATCTGGCTGCTCCCTGTTGGGCTGGGACTCCACCTGCTTGGGCGGGTCACTGAGTAAGTAGTCCAAATCCCATGTCTTTCTTTCCCTTTCTTAACTTTCTTTCTCCCTTTACTGAAATACATCTTTCAGCAACCACCCCCAAGAAGGTATATAGGAGGTGTGATTTGCTTTAGTTTACTTTTTAGTTTATTTGTGCTTGAGATCTTAAAAATCTGAAAATATCTTTATTCTGTTGCACACTCAGCTGACAGTTGGGCCCACTATATAGAAAATGAGGTGCAACATTGCTTCTTCGCTATTGCACATCCGTTGCTTCAGACGGGAAGTCAGATGCCCCGGTCCTCAGCCTGGGTAACAAAGCTACACTTACCATCCTTGAAGGCTGTTGGGCGTCGTTCCCTGCTGCTTTGTGCTCTGGCGCGCACACCTCTCTCTAAAGCCATTCCTTCACCTGCATCCCACCCGAGGACTTGGTCCAGCCCTAAGTGTTTCCTTCTCTCATTTTTGTTAATTCCTCTCTCTTCATCTCCTCTCTCGGGAATTCCCTAGTGGACCGTGAACTTACTCGATTGATTTTCTGTCTTCTCTCAGGATGAGCCTGTGTTTGCTTTCTCCTTTTTCCTGCCTTCCCGAAGCTGAAATGGCCTTTTGCCTTCTAGTCATATTTATCTCACATTTATGAACCTGGGCCACCTGTGGCACGTCAGTCTGTCAGGTCCTGCTCCACCGTTCCATCCTTTCCTGGCCTTTCGTGGCCCCAGGAAGTGCCCGGGCCCCTCTGTGTGGTACCTTGCCCCTATTCAGCTCTTCCTGGGCTGCTGATATAGGCAAGGACACCTGTCATGGGCAGAGTCCTTCCCTGGAGCAGGAGCCTGAAGAGGCTGCGTTGGCTGTGAGAAGGAAGCTAAGGGGATGTAGTTGGGTGAGTGGTTGTGGGGACTAGTGGGGTGACGGTCTGGGGGAAGTCATAGAGGGCTGTAAACTAGATTTTGGGAACTGTAGAGGGCTGAATGGAGCTATGGAGGTGAATTGGGGAGAGTCTGAGTAGGTAACAGCTCTTGGGCCATGGGAGACAGGGAGTGCTCTCTCTGTCTCTCTCTCTCCCTCTCTCTCTCTCTCTCTCTCTCTCTCTCTCTCTCTCTGTGTGTGTGTGTGTGTGTGTGTGTGTGTGTATGTGTGTGTGGTGTCTGTCTGTCTGTCTTTGTGGGCAGAGGGGGTACTTCCCTGTTCAGTCTTTCAGGGGCTCCCAGGGACAGTCAGAGCCGAGGGAGAGGGAGAGGAAGGGCAGAGGGACCAGGCCAGGAAACCCTTCCAGAGCTTCCCAATGCTCTTGTAAATTCCTGGAATTCTGAACTGCTTGCCCTCTGGTGTTTTCTGTGGAAATCCGGAAGGAAGGCTTGTGATTCACGTCTGGGCTGACAACGTCTGCTGGGCTGGAGACTCCTGGGCAGGGGTGAGGGGGAGAGATCCTCAAGGCCTGCCATTCCCCATAACTGCCTGCACACTGTCTAGGGCCTCAGACTAGCTTCCTCATGGGCGATCCCCATCCCCAGCACAGTGGTAGGTTCCCTAGGGCAGACAGTAAGCGGTTCTTGAAGATCCTGAACCCTGCTTCCCAGCATCCGCACTGAGTCCTTCAGGCCCACTCTTGCCCCCATCAGTTTGGTTCCCACAGTACACAGTGTAGCCTCTCGGGAGTAGAGAAGGGCATGTCACCGTGCCCACCTTCCTGTTTGATCCACCAAGGTAACCGTCACTCTGCTCAAGAGCTGCTCAGGATTGAAACAGGAAGTTGTTTGGGTAATCTTAATTGGTGGTGGTGTCTGTAAGTTTACAGGGTGTTTTTTGTTGTCGTTACTGTGTGTGTGAGACGTGGGCTGGTCAGAGGACAGCTGTGGTTCAGGGAGGATGGAGCTCAGACGTTTTGGGAGCAGGAGCCTTTACCTCTGAGATGTTTCTGGAGTTCTGCACTCTTTAAGTTTCAGGCTTTGTCATAGACCACCCTCATTATCAATCGAAGACTGAGGCTCCACCCCTTCTGGCCTGCCTTAACTGCCCCATCCCTCCTGACTCTGTCCCTGAGTCTCACCCCATCAGTCCTCGGAACCATTCCCTCCAGGGTCCTCCGCTCCCTGCTCACACACCTTCTGTCCTCCAGGTCTGCAGGTGGCCCTGGGATGAGTCCCTTCCTGTGCTTCAGGCTCTCCCGAGGCTACCGCAGCTCTGC